AGCGCAATGATGGCGGCAGTGGTGGCGGTGTGTTCTGAAAGGACAAATGTCACTGGCCGTGGCTACCCACCTAGTCGAGCAGCGGTCAAAGCTGGCGTCTGCCAGATTCCGCGATATTCGTCAGCAAGCAGACAACGGACGACTGGCCGCGGCAAACGGTGCACGCTGAAAGGAGACACGGGATATCACCATCGAGTAATATCGCGGAATCGTTCCCAGCTTATCGGACGTGAATCGGTTCATCAGAATTGCCGCCGCCGAGGACTCCAGCTCTGACGTTTGGGGTGCCCGACAACGGCCACCAATAGATGCGCATTTGGTTGCCGTGATTCAGGCACCTCAGCCAGATCCTACTTGGTGAGATCACCAGTGAGAGCTGTCTAAACTCTGAAAGCTGGAGCTGGCAGCGCGAAGAGTCGCGTCTGGCATCGCGTGCTGGGCAGATGCAGGCTTGCAGGGAGGTCGGAGGAAGAGAAAGGTGAGGATAGAGTAATGTGGGGTCGAGAGAAAAATTCGTCTAGGCTTGACCTCCTGAAACTGGATATGTTTCACTGTCGAGCTGATGAATGCTGCTGGACGCAGATGGGGGGGCTTCTGTCCTGAGCTCTGCCGACCACTCAGCTCGAAGATTCTGGTCAAGCTTGTTCGCCGCTCCGGAGCCAACCCTGTAGTACGACACCGTACACCATGCTTGCCTCCGGACGATTACTGTTTCTGGGCAAGATCTGGTCTCCCCCTAGAGTCAAGCCACGAGTAGTAAACCTGTCTACTCCAGAATCCACGTCAGAATCCAAGCCTCTTGACAAAATCGTATGGTGGGCTGCTGCAGGGGCTTGCGAGCTAGGGTATCGGGGATCGTCCAGATCCTTGTTTACTACTGTGAGTGGCTGGGATTGGATCTGACGGCAAGCCACTCGTCGCCTTGGCTGGAGAATCCCCCTATTACGAATACTCTGGATCACGAGGAGACAGGCGTGAACGAAAGGTCCAAAATACGTAGACCCAAAAAATCGAAAAGGAGGGGTGCAGAATCTTCCCTGTTCTTTGACGTACCAGTATCTGAACGTGAGCCCATGCAATGCACGTGTAGGCATCGAGGCAGCATAATTCAGGAGAACCCCGGCAATTCGAACACCTACGTACCTACCTACCTACTCAGGTAACTCAGGTAACCCCTCTACCGCGAGTACCGGGCGACGTTGACCAGCCATCCCTGAGTTTTTTTCAGTGGAAAAGAGAAAGTGGCAGACTAGAGCGGTCTCAGCTCGGCTAGTATTTCCCGCCTCCAGCGAGAGGCCTAGGCAGAGCGGGCAGGGGCTTGGGGTGACATGGCACTGGTAACAGAAACGGTCGCTCTACCCGTGACCAGTGGCCTGCAGTGGCCTGCAGTGGCCACTCTGGAGGCCTTCTGACCCCCCGCCTGCCATGCTGAGGTTCCGAATTTTCGGGCGCGATTGGGCGTAATTGGAGGCCGCCTTGGCATCCCAACTGGGTAACAGCTTTCAACGACAAGTCACGATATTCGGTTGGCTCCCGTCAAATCCCCTCTCAAACAGCATCAATAGTGACTCAATGTGGCGTAGGAATCCCTCCCCCCTGAATCAAGTAATTCGTGTTGATGCAGAGGTGAGAGCGACCTGGCGATGGCCTCGATCCTCGCGGCAATCCCCAGTCCGATTCAGGCATCTCGCATCCTCTCGTTTAATCTAGCTACAACAGAGGCGTTACAGCCTGTCAGCAGACCATCATGAGCAATGTTTAGGCAATGTTCCTCGAAAGGTGGGCGCGTCTATCACGGTCTCCTGAGTCGCCTCTTCTCGCCATTTCAACTACTCAGACTAGACTAGTCAGGGCAGAGGCCAGACAGGATTCTTTTTTTTTAGTAATCTCATTCTCAAGTTTCTAGCTTGAATGCAGGAACAAGATCCCTAAGAGACGATGGCCCCTCGGAGCATTGCTTAGTCCTACCGCCCAAGAGACTCGGGCAAGCCAATCAATGCGTGCCGGAACCCTCCCTCATGGACAGCCCCTACCCACTTCGTCGACGCTATGCTTCAAACCCTATGAGAGCGATCATGATGGCTGAGCTCTACTGGCTGCGCGGGCTGTGTGCCATTGACCCTGAGAACCTGATCTGTGGGGTCGATGATCTACGCTGAACTTCGAGCTTCAAGTGGACCTCAAAGTGGCCATCCGAAGAGCGACGACAGGGGGCTTGAGGGGCAACTCAGGAAGCATGTTCTACTCCATGGAGTCCCTGTCCAATCATCCTCTGGAAGAGTTCTGTTCCTGCAGCATGTTTCCCAACTTAGTCGTAATGTCTCTGCTCTCGTTCTGCATGACTTAGGTAGGTACCTAGAGATATTCCTTGGCGGGTTGCCCTACGTTCACTTCATCGCTGTCTTCCAAGACTTTATAAGACCCTGTCTCGTCGCTCAAGTCGATCGTTTCGTTTCCTCTCTTCACGCCAGCGGCAGCATCAGTCTTCACGACAGTCCTTTTCACACAACAGCCCTTCCTTCACTCCTTAGAGGCAAGGCCTTGTTTGTTCAACTTCGTTTCTTTGATATCCAACTCGCCTGGAGCACTACTTTCATTTGAGTCGAACTCAATAACACCATCATCGTCAACAACTCAGATCACAGGTGCCAAAACCACAACTGTCACTGGTCATATTGTTCCCATTTCCCACCGGAACAAAGCCTTTACACAGGTTAGTACACCCTTGACTTTGAGACACCAGCCTTTGTTCAGTCCCGCCCACAATGGTCTTGTATGATCTCGGTCTTTGGCCATTGTCCTGAAGATTCAGGACATAGACAATGAGCATCAAGGTCTGAGGCTCGAATATTGCCTCAGCCCCTTGTTACATTGTACGCCAAAGAGATCAGACCGATCGCTGTGTATAAAGCTAGCCCCTGTATCCGACCTGACTGGGATATCTTGCCTTCCAGTAACAAACAGCACAAGCTAACATTCTCAAGCCTTCTCTACCTTCCCAAACCACCTTTTGAGTTAAATCGTCTGGAACGAATAATCTCGCATTCATTCAAAATGTTCTTCACCAAGGCCACCGTCTCCGCGGCGATCATTGCTGCAGCCAACGCTCACGTGGTCATGACTGACCCTGTTCCGTACAACCCGGACAAGCTCCTGAACGCACCTCTTGAAGCCGACGGGTCCAACTTCCCATGCAAGTTCGACGATAGCTACACTTCCAAAGTGACCCAGACAAACTCGTTTGCCCTGGGTTCATCTCAAGACTTGGCTCTCATGGGGTCTGCTGTTCACGGAGGAGGATCCTGCCAGATTTCGATCACATATGATCAGCCTCCCACCAAAGACTCCGTCTTCAAAGTCATTCACAGCATTGAAGGTGGCTGCCCCGCCAAGAACATGGACGGCAACTATGAGCCCGAGAGCGCCACCTTTGTTGACCCGAACACCTATAACTACACCATTCCCAGCGATATCCCCGCTGGCAAAGGAACTATTGTCTGGACTTGGTTCAACAGAATTGGCAACCGTGAGATGTATATGAACTGCGGTCCCCTCGAGCTTACAGGCACTGGTGGCGACCAGTCAAACTTCGACAGCCTCCCCGACATGGTCGTCGCTAACATCGGCTCATACGCCAAGACAACTGAGAATGACGACTACGTATTTGCCGACCCTGGTGACTCTGTCGCAGTTTTCACCGGTGCGAACCAAATCCAAACCATTGGTTCAGCCGGCTCCGGCTCCGGGTCTGGTGCTACCAGCACTGCTGCTCCGGCCGCCTCCACTACCGCGGCTGGTGGTGTCTTCATGACGACTGGAGCCGCTTCTGCTACTTCAGTTGCCGAGACCACAGCTGCCGCATCTGCTACTTCTGTGGCTGAGGCACCTACTGCTGCTACTTCCTCCACGGCTGGCGAGCCGACTTCAGGATCCGGCTCATCTTCTGGCTCAACCGGTGCTATGTCGGGTGCATGCACCACAGAGGGAGAGTTCTACTGCTCAGGTACTGCCTTCCAACAGTGCGCTAGTGGTCAGTGGTCGGCTGAGATCGAGATGGCTGCCGGCACGAGCTGCACTCCCGGGCAGAGCTCCAACATGCAGATCTCGGCAGTCCGTGGCAAGAAGCGTGCCATCCGCTCTTTCAGGGCATAAATGGAACAAGAAAGACATTATGAGGAACATTTTGGATGAGGAAATGGGAAGTTTGGATACTTGGATCTGATTTTTTTTGATAGATATCCCATCATTCTTTAGGACTGGCGTTGGAAGACTGCATATTCTTGCCGGTCTCTCTTTCATTTCACTGTACATACTTCTCTAGAAACTTTGTATGTACAACACAGCTGGGGCGGACTCTAGGCCCAATACATTTTGGCATAACAATTGGTTACGATCGCGCACATGTTGACTTGACCCATATGCACGTTGTCTGACATGAGATTGAAGTGGATATTTAATCCCAGAGTTGCAATGTCACGCCATCCTGGCCAATTCAGCAGAGGTGAGGAATCCCGTAATAACATGAAAAATGATTGAGAAAACTCGGTACCCCTAATGCAAATTGCTGAAGCAGCAGCTAGTATGGGTCCCGCACCAGGGCTTCTTTGGTTTCCGATCAGTCTAAGAGCAGGATGTGTTCAGGTACATTTTCGTGGAATTGCCGGCAGGGGTTGAAGCCAAAGGTACGCAGTAAAGCTTCTACACGACTATCGAGACCATCAGGCTTTCCTCATTCGAATAGGAGCACTTTGAGTTCTAGGAGCATATCATTCGTATGAACACTTCAGTCTACGGGCGTATATATCCTATCGAATGAGGCCTTCTTCGTAAGGCAATCGCGCTTCTGCAACCGCAAGTTACCAAAATCCTGAGTGCAACATTACCCCATCTGTCTGCTACAAGCACCAATCGTGCCGCTAAGCGGGTGGATACACCCCTCCTTTACCTAGTAATAATTATAATATCTGATAATTGACGTTTCGTCATCAGCAACAAATCACGCCTCTATGGCACAGGGGTAATGCGTCGCACTCGTAATCCAACTACGATGTAATGCGAAGATCCGCGGTTCGATTCCGCGTGGAGGCATCAACTTTTTCCCTTTTGCCCCATCAACTCAATTGCTATTTTGATGTTCTTGTCATATTTCACCAATTCGAAATTCGCCCGCTATTGCAATTTAATTGTATAGTAACTCAATAGCCGGTGCAGCGCTTGTTCTGTCTATCGAGTGAACTATTCTGGCGACTCAAGCAACGCTGTCAACTCGTGCGTCGCATGCAACCAACGTACGGATACCTCTTCTGCATTGGCTGTTGTATTGTGTTGATGCGGCTCACTTATTGCGCTTGCAAGTCAAGAGGAAAAGAAAACGAAAGGAGGCCCTTTTTTAACAATTTTTCATTTTTCTTATTTAGGTTTCGGGAATTCATAAACTTTGATCTTCTAAGGATCGGCATGGTTGACGATATTTGTAGTTCTTATAAATCGAACGCCACGTTTTTCATCTTTGCTGGTGGTCTCATTTTTGTCCAATATCTCCCCTTTCAGCCGCCGCTTGTTGAGCGGCTGCACAAATGGGCCACTCTCGATACCAACATGGGGCTTCCCATCCACGCCAATGTAGTCGCCGAACGTGTATGTTTTGCCAGAACTTCCAGCCCCACGCTTTGGGTCTCTAGCTGTGTAAACAGCAAATTCTTCAAGGGTGTGGCTTGGAGCAGTGTACGCTAGCAGTGAGCCCAGTGTCGACGGCATCCTCGGGAGTAGGAAGTGACGCCCTCGCCAGTAGACAGCCACTGCGATAACAATGTAGAAGCACATTATAGCTATACTGATGTTGGAGGCGGGATTAGACACGAAGATCCGTGTCTCGGTCCACATGAGAGTTGCATTGACCTTCGTGGTGTTATTGTCCTGAGTTTCGGTTCGCTTGAGAGTTGCATTGGCATCCAGTGTTCCATTGGCTAGGCGAAAGAAATCTGGATTGAGGCCGAATACGATTGCCGACAAGCGGCGGTAGAGGTCTTGCACAGCGGGTATCATGGCTTCTGCGTCAGGAACGTCTAGTGTAACATTAACTAGAGAACGGCTCTGCATAGTGAGAGTCAGGAGATGATTGAACCAGTCCCGAGTTATTGTCTCATTGTGCCAAACATTATCGAAAGCCGTCTGTTCATTGGCGTGATATTTCCCCATCAATCGGGCGATGTTCTTGATTTCTTCGGCGGGGATGAACTCCTGAACAGCATCAAACGATCCTGACATGTTCGCTTTCACGATATTTCCGTCTGAATCTACCGTCACGTCGAACATAGCTGTTCGAACTCTTGGAAGGCAGCTAAGGAATGCTTTGTGCACCACTCGTTCACTTTCATTTTTGACCGGAGTTAATCTTGCCCAGCCTACGAGAAAATCTGGGATCGCTGCACATTGACTTGGATTCCACCCAGACAAGCTCAAGATAAATTCGCGTGCTGATCTAGAGACGACGTCGTCTAGGTCTGGGGTGAGGGAGCCGTAGAAGTCCTTGCACTCAATTATCGATCCGTTTGATTCTTTGAGAGACCAGGAAAAGGTTTCCGCGGGACCTGCAGCGGAATAGTAAAAGGTCTTGTTGGTTGAAGTGTCATTAGTATATAATGGGGAACATTCGACGTCCACACCGAAACCTCGCGTATGCGCCGTCAGAAGCTCCCCTTCGCCCAGTGATCCGTTTGGGTGGTTATCGAACGGAAGGTAGAAGAAGTTGTCATCGGTCCAAGAAGGTAGCGATGTGCCCGTCGAAAGATTTGTTAACAGAATCTCATAATGGTCTGAATATTTCGTAGGTGTTAGGCTCGGGACAATCTCATCTCGACTCGTTACTGGAGAGCGAGTAGGGCTGACGGAAATGGCGTCATTAAGACGCACTGGGCGCTCAAAAAAAATACCACCCATGGCAACCGCCAAGACGTCAGCCAGAATTGTCGCAGAGCAGATGAGCATCAGCAAGTAATGTTTAGCCCTCGCTGAACGCCAGAAAACAAGCTGCGGTGGTAGAGAGGTATACTCGGTCAGTATAGATCTCCTGGGGTCACTCTGGCCTCGCTGAAGCTCGGAAAACGGCTGGAGTAGACAGTATGTTCGGTTGAGTAGGAGCCATAATGGTCCAAGAAGAGTCGCAAAGAGCACGGGCGCAGAGTTCTCTAACAATTGCATCATCTCGAAGTCTGGAATCGGTTGCGGAAAGCCTGCAACGGAGGAACGTAAGCATTTCCTCCTTGTAGTCAGGTCACCCTTGAAGATTGCAACTTACCTCTCGCATGTGGTTCTTGCTGTTTGAAATATACCAGAGTAACCAATCCTGTAGTCAACATACCAATGCAGCATATCCCAGACAGAGTTTTCAACTCCAACGGCAGGGTGGGTGAAAATTTACTCGGCTCTACATCCAAACCCGTGTCTCCATGGCCTTCTGGATTACGCTTCTCTATCCGATGGAGACTCAAGAGGCGATCGCTGTCTTCCTGCCTTCGTAAAGCGTATGCTCGTCCTCGGAGGTGCGATTCGAGGGATGTACTGGTAGATACGTCTTGGTCCATGAAGTCATCAAGAACGTCTTTGCTGCAGTGAAGCATGCCAAGAGTCATTCCGATGCTTGTGGGATTGCGCATCAAGAGGCTTGTGCTCCTCCTGCATTGGAACAGAGTGCAGACTGTGAGTACGGCCATAAGAAGTAGTAAAACTTCAACGGCCGTTGCAATTGATCCACTAAGAAGAATACCATATGCAGTGAAATGAAGTGAACCTGTCTGAGTAGTGTTCTCTACATTTGACGAGAGCGCTCTGGTGATGGCCATTGAGAAGATTGTCTTATGTGCAGCAGAATACGCAGCTTTCAATTTGTTCGGGTCTTGTAGTTCGGCCAACGAGTAATTTTGAGACCCAAGACCAAACCCAACCATAGGTGTCGCTGGCCATTGAGTGGCGCTGAACGAAGCTGCAATCTGAGAAGACTGTTCGAGAGGTGCGTCACCAGGGTAGTCTCTGAGGATATCTCTAGAAGATTGGCCTGTTCCGATAAGATACTCGAAAGCTGTACGATTGAATTCTGAATCTTCAAGCGGCTGTAGGTCTCCCTCGTGCATGATCGATGATTCATTAGGACGTAGCGTGCTGGTCGAAAGGCTCACAGAGACTCTGCGCTTGTAATATCGAGGCTCGCAGAACTGTCCGGTGACACTAGTATAGGGTGACGTCGAAGCGTTTTGGGCGGCCCATATGGCAAGAAACTGATGGCTCGAGTTCGTGCTGCAGGATACTCCTTCGAGGTAATAGTCCAAACGAGCGTTGCTGAAGTATCCGACATACAGGATTGCATAACTTCGATTGTGGGGTACGAAAGGGGACCCTCCTAAAGCAATATCGACATTACATCCTAAGCCATTATCGAAACTATAATAGGGTCCGCTGGTGTTCACTTGGGCTGGCCAGCATTCGAGATCTGTGGTGAGCTGCCAGGTCGAGCTTCTCAGGTAGGAATCAGTCGCGTAAGATGGCTGTTGGTCAGTTTGGAAGGGAAGCAGAGCATAGTCCTTTGTCATAGACGATGGGTAGCCCTGGCCGAGCCAAATTGAGGCGAAAGCGCTATTCAGTACGGACACATCGAATGACACGGCCTGATCTGAAAGAGAAAGAAGGCTGTATGATGCAGAAGAAACCGCTTTCGCGATTTGTACTGATCCTACGCCGAATACGGAGCTCGAAAGTGGTGTTATGAGCAGGAGCGCGAGCATTGCCATCCCGACGAAGAAGACTGGCCAGTGACTATCGAAAATCAGCACAGAATTGACTGTGAAATGCTTGTCCACTTACCGTCGGCGAGCTGCCTTGAATGGTACAAACAAGACAAAATCGGCAAGGTAGTCAAGTAGCAGTGAGTCTTGCGAACAAGAGCCCTCGCTTCGAGAAAGCTGCAACCAAGGCTGGAACCTCTTCACATCTAGGTCGACCCAAGCCCAGACAAGACTGTAGAATACTAGTAAGGCGGTAGGCAAGTAAGTGGAAAGTAGGACCATTGCTTGTGGGATATCATTCTCTGTTCTCGAAAGCGAGAGGGCTCCGTCTTCAGCCGCTTTCCGTGCTAGAATCTCAATGACGGCTGCTATGGTGAGTGTCAATATGGCTAGAGCGGCGAGCGCAGGCATCCTCATCATCCGTGGCCTCCATCCTGAGAATCATTATATTAGTGAGTCACCAGATAGTTGTGCCTGATACAATAGTAATAGCGTACCTGTGTCCTTGTGCGGACGGATTTTCTCTACAAGGCTCCTTATGCTTTGGTGCATTGTCCTATTCTTCCTTCACAGAATGCGAAGAGAGTCGACATTGGCAGTCGCAACTGGGCGAATCTGCTGTATATTTCGAGGGCTCGAGACATGATTGACTTTCAGTTAGTCGTCAGAGCAAGATGTGTTGTTCTCATATGAGGTCGGCAGGCCAGAATGGAGACTAAGAAGAGTCTGTGGAGATGCTGGGAATACCTGGCTGGAAGCGCGCGGCTTCGCGTGTGTTGTGTCGTGTCGCTGGCATTAGCCAATAGCAGCGAGGATAAGCGCCTGTTGAAACGGTAGTATATTGAGCGCCGCCCGTAGCGGCCAACTGAGGAGCCCGCCGTGAATTCTGGTTGGGCCATTCTTCCGCATACTACTCAATCGGCCAACGGGCCGATAAACACATTGTAACCCGAGTCCACCAAGGTGCAGATGGCCTGACGGGGTATCCCTCTTGCGCGATATGTGCTGGACTGAAAATCACGGGTTGGGCTGGTGCTCGCTCCTCGAATCTACCGGTGTTGTTGGGGAATAACCTTGATAAGTACCGAGCAGTACCGTGCAGTGCCAAACTACCTCACGACTAAAAATAGCCATGCACCGCAGCTGTGAAACTCAAGGTTGGTATGTAGTTCAGTCAGGGCGTTATCAAAGGAACGGTTGGGTTAAAATGTTCCTTACGATCTCGCAAGATACGCGAGGCCTTGCACATGGATAAGCGCGCCGATGTTCAGATGGAGTCTCTCATACGAGACGCAGGACTACAGGACTGGC